CTGTCCGGCTCCGCGGGTGCTGAAGCGCGGCCGGCCAAGCCCAGGCACCCCTGCAGCCTGGCGCGCGCCGGCCGGGCCGCACCGCTGCGGGCTCCGCGCGCGCGGGCCATGTCCGCCTTCTGCCTGGGCTTGGCCGGCCGCGCTTCAGCACCCGCGGAGCCGGACAGCGCCTGCTGCATGGAGCTGCCCGCAGCGGCCGCGGACGCAGTCGGGAGTCCAGCCGCCGCCGCCCTCATCTCCTTCTCCGGGGGCTCCGGGGAGCTGGAACTGGCGTTAGAGGAGGAGCTGGCGCTGCTGGCGGCCGGGGAACGGCCGTCCGACCCCGGGGAGCATTCTCAGGCCGAGGCCGGGCCTCCGGCCGAGGGGTCCGGACTGCAGCCGCCGCCCGCCCAGGATCCCGAACTGCTGTCGGTGATCCGGCAGAAAGAGAAGGATCTGGTGTTGGCGGCCCGGCTGGGCAAGGCGCTGCTCGAGAGGAACCAGGACATGAGCCGGCAGTACGAGCAGATGCACAAGGAGCTGACAGACAAGCTGGAGGTGAGGACGTCCCTCGTGGGATGGGTGGGAAGCAGGGAGAGCCCTTTCGGCCTTGGGCAGCTTCAGCTTCGGGAGCCACCCACCCTACTCCTTCCTTACTCACCCTGCCTTAACAGAAAACCACCTGGAGGGAGGGGTCGGGTGGAGGGTTTCGAATTATCAGACCAGGGCAACATTGAATCCACCTGACTTCAGCAAATGGGTCCACGCACCGCCCCAGCCCCGCTGTGGGCCATTCTATATATGTACTGTACACAGCGTCTAAAATAGAGCTTACAGTATGACTAATTTATACAGCGCTGAGGTGATGTCTGCACACAGAGAAATGAGAAAGTCGGGAAGCATTTAAAATATGCTCCAGGTTTTCAGAGTAGTTAATCTCTAATCAGGGTGTTAGCCTTAAAGCCTTCCAGTTTTGGCGTTAAGGCCTCCAGATGCCCTTGTCTTAACTTCCCGGCAGCTCAGAGTTGTGGGAAACAAGTGCCCCTCAAGGAGCTTTATATAGCCTTCAAATACTCAGGGATTAGGAAATGTGGTTCCATTGCAGAAATCAGGCAAGCCTGGGCTCGGCATGTGACTGTTGGTAGTGGATTTAATTTGGACCTCGGCATTTATGTGTATTTTGTATTTAAACAGTACGCTTTTTTTTTTTTTTTTTTTTTTTTTTTTTTTTTTTTTTTTTTTTT